CTCAGATCACATTGACTATCAATAGCTCTGTTAATTAGGATGCTTGGAGTGGGAAATATCAAACTGTACTGGGATTTCTTCAGTAAGTTGACATTTATGGCATTATATATGAATTTGAGATGAGTCGATTGTGAGTAATTTGGGGCCCACATTCTAAAACATGCTTACTAAAGTACTCGTTAGTTTAAATAAAGTAAAGTTATATTAAGAAGTCTGGGTGAATAAAAGTGGTACTGACCTCAAAAAGAAGTTGTAGCTTCGCTGTAGTAGAAAACTCAAAAGATCAAATGATCATGATCTTTACTTTGGTCGATCTTGATTGGTTAATCTTTAATTAGGGCTAAGTAACAATAGTAAATAACAGTTACAATAAGAAAGTAAGGTTGGATCTCGTACCAGTACAGTGCAAAATAATGTTGTGTAATTGGTACAAAAAATATTTAAAAAAATTTGCAGATTTCATATACTTTAATTTATTAAGTCCGAGACCTAGACCTTAGTCCTTAGTCCTAAACAGTCCTAGTTACAGTTGCAGGAATCATTGTAACTGTAGTAGCAGGTGTTGCCTTGTTGAAGTAAAAGTTTCTAGCAGTAGTTCACACTTTATATAGGACACTGTATTAGCAAGTATTTTAGTAGGTATACGCTGTAATTGTAGCAGTACTAGTGCTATAGCCACTAGTTCTTTTTCCACCTATATCGTTCTTGTTTCCCTATAGACTGCTATTCATTCTAACTGCAGAGTCTTGGTGCCCCGGTCAGCTCCATCTGTGCTCACACTTGTTCCTCCCTTCACTCTCTCTTTAAGCTCCTGTTTTGGAGCATGTTTGGCCTGGTTGTGTAACTCACTGCATGTGTACTTCTGTGACATGTGCACAAAACCAATTAGTTTTGGGATCCTGAAGTAGCTGACCACGGGAAATGACAATGGAGGGATTGAAGAGGCCGTCTCAGTGAGAGCCTGGACAGCTCAATGCAATTCTCACTCAAAGAGAGAGGGTTTTCTTCACACATGAAATGAACTATGAATGGTAACTCCTGACTCAAGGTGGTCCTATGTCTCTACAGACAGTAATTACCTGTTTTTCCCTCATTAATTTAATTGGGCTGGTCTTAGTAATATGATATCAGGAGTTTTTGTGGTTTTGTTGGTTTATTAGTACTTTTGTTAGTGTCTAGATTTTATTTTGGTGCATGGAAAGAATTCTGCACCATTGTGACAAGGTAAGATTCGATGCAACCACTAGGGATTAATAATAAGGAAAAGTGGCATAATAAAGACTTTAAATATGAATTGTGTTGCTTTTGGTCCTCGATGTCCATGGGTTTCAGTTTCCTGTTATATGCAACATTTTTCAAGACCTTTTCCCATTCAAAACATATGACATTTTATTTTTGCATTGTTAATTAGTATGGTGATGGTCCTAGATTCTCATCATTCTGAAATCCATGAATGCTTCTATTGTATACACACAAGGTCATCCACCTTGTAGTTGTAGTTATCATTTCTTCAAAGTATTAAAACTTGATCTAGATTTTGTTATAATGTCTTACCATCCTGCACAGTACTCTCTAATGTTACAGTAAAAACAGCAGGCTAGATGGCTGCCATTTATAGAAAGAACAAGTGTCTCTCCTTGGCCCGTCAGTTGTTAAGGAGCGCCTGTGTCTCCTGCAGATTGTATCATCGGTCTGACAGATTTTGGCGCGGCTGACTCCAAACACAAGCTTGTCTTTATCTTGGCCTCAGCAGTCTTCAGTCGTGAGCGTTATTGACTCTGGCTCTTTCTGTTCGCTCAGCACAACATTCACAGAAGGTTTTACAATACTGATGGATGTGCTCGGATTACATCTCTACAGCCATATAACCCGAATAAAACCTGAGATTTTGGTCTTGCTATATATTATTGTACAAGAGATAGTAGGGCTGGAGGATTAACCACATTTTAATCAACATGGTTTAAGGCTGAGTCATTACTAATTGTCAATGATATGCTTGTGTTTTTTTTAACTGAGAGATTTATAGTCAATACTCAATAAAAGTAGTAAGTAGTAAAAGTAAAAGTAAGTAGTTTTTTTGGAGGAGAGTTCAGACTTGAAAAATGTGGCTATTTTTTGTGTTAAATAGCACAAATTAAAAGTGTCTTATTTATATTAATTAAATCAATACTGAAAAACATTTTATATTACAAAATTAAATTGAAAATTCAAAAATTCATCAATATGATGAAAAATATTGTAATTTCATGTCATGTCACCCTGGTCTAATTGCTACTAAGTTACTGAAAAGGTTTGGCAGAGAGGCAAAGACATGTGCAACTATGACAAAAACAATAATGATTAAAATGAAAAATGGCAAACAACAAAATGAAAAAAGTTTTTCACAGTTTCGTAGAGTCATTTCTACACAGAGCATTTCCATTTGAAATTCATATTAGTTTGACATTTGGTCAAAGTTGAATAATTTTAGTCTGAACTCTACATTATAATGACTGTTTGGCAGAATCTTAAGTTGCATTTCCTCCTTTTAAGAGCCACACTTGAGTCTACACTGAGGCCCTTATGTCACAGGCTGCAGGAGGTTGGCCGTGTATCAGTGCTTCTTGGCGGGATAATTATAGCACACATGCTAACAGACACACTAACACACATACATACACTCACACATTGACACACAACCACACACAAATGGGCTGACCAGCCAGAGCTGGGCTGCAACACCTCATTACACTGGGAAATGAATCCTGGATGAAGTCTTGGCTCTACTCCAGATCTGAATCTCTGCTTTTCTCTGGGAGTCACCATAAATTTATAATGGAACCATTTTCTCACTCGCTGTCGCCATTTTTCCTTTTGTCATTAGCCTTTACTGTGCTATGCAGGTTGGGCTTTATCATGATTGGGACAGTTTGCAATTTTATTGTAATTGGACTGGCATAAAACTTAAAACCTTGTTACAGTCTGAGGTTATTTGACAGTTGGCTTACAGTAGATTTACTGAGCGTATACTCTCCATTAAAGGTGCTCTATAAAACTTTTCTGATAGTGTCCCATCATCTTGCTTTGTCTGGAATGTTCCACATTATAGTATTAAACTTATCTACATTTTAAATACATAAGACAAACATGCATTCTTACTGTGAGCGGAGTCGCCTGTCCACAGATCTGACCTGTAACTTTGCTTGGTGGTTTCAAATGCATGCCTCCATGGAGCAAGTTTAAGAACTGACTATGGAAAACTCAAAGCAAAGCAATAACATCTTCATGAAGACAAGCAAATGGCTGACCCTCTGTCAGGATTATTCTGTTTACGTTAACATGTTTACACACCTCTTTATTCTGTCAGAAGAAACACAGCTGGTTGTACTTTATTTTATGCAGTGACAATAAAGGTGATCTCCAATGATGTATGAGTTGCTGTTATGGTGTTTAGGTAAATGATTCCTTTTTGATTTTAAATATTTCTCCATTCAAATGATAAAATATTTTGGTATTTGAATTTCATAACTAATAATTATTTTGTTGCAATAGCTTTACATACCTGAATACCAGTCTTCTCAGTAGTTTAAATTTTAGTTTTTTAAGACTGATAGTTAAATGCCTTTCTTTGTAATATTGAGTCAAGGTCACATGACGGGCTTCATTCATGCATTGTAAACGTCTAACATTTATCAAGTTGCTGTTAAGCGTTTGTTGTCACTTTGATGCTCCGTATGGTTCCTGCGCCTTTGCCTGCAGCCTACAAATGAGCTTGATCAAATTGCCCCCATGGATCTTCCCCTGTCAGATCCCAGGCCAGCTTTGGCGGATGGTGTGTACAGCAGAGTGATTGGCTGCTCCAGGATACAGAATACAGGCCTTTCTCCCCTGAGAGGTGCACTGGGAGCCTGGTCTGCTCCCCTGCTGCCTCTGCTCCGGGGCCTCTATTGAATCATGACTTTAGGGCTGCTGCTGCAACAAATCAGTGTTCTCCCATAGGATGTCCCAGCTCAACCCTGTCTGCGCCTCCTCTCTAGCCTCTGGTCCTGCCTCCCCAAGGTCCCATCTACAGGCCAGACCTGCCCACAGCCACAAGCACTAATACTGCACAATAGAACAAAATAGAACCGCATTGTCAGCTCATTTGCATTGGTTATATTCATTAACATCACACGTTTGATTATGTAGTCTTGAGATTAGATCCTGATGGCTCAATTCTGTACCAAGTGGAGTCTTTTGAGTATTTAGCTTTTCGTGGTCATTGCAGATGGTACTTTGCAAGCTGTATTTTCAAGAAATTACTGCTTGAAAATCTAATTTCACCCTCCAAAGTACATAGTATTTTCTAAAACAAATCAACAATGGTTAAATATGTACAAAGTATTTCCATCTTTTTTATGTTTTTTTTATGTTTAAATTCTGTATGTGCAACTGGATCATTTTGTACAATTAGGCAAAACTCAAAAATCTGTTGTGATGAAGGTTTAATTAGATTATGTAATGTCCCAAAAGGAAATCCCTACTTAATTAACAACTAATCAATGGTCCATTAGCCTGTCTTCAGTCAGTTTGAGGCTGTAAATACTCACCTAACTTGAACTTGTAACATCCCCCGTGTGGGGTGCACTCTAAAAAGCAATATCCACTGGAGAAAAAATATACAAAATTGCTGCAACTTGATTAAACTTATCGCTCAAGCGTATGAAGTTAAGAGTGATAATATCCCATGCCCTTGTGCTTTGGTGAACATTGATTTGGATGAGAGGCCAAATGGTATCTCAGCCATGGCAGTGATTAGCTGAGCAAAATGAGCCCGTGTGGGATGGTTCGTGCCCCATTGGAGCGCTCTGGATCAAAAAGATGGCTTCCAGCTAACTGCAGTGCACGACAACTATCATCGATCAGCTCTGTGCCTGCCCCTCTCATACACACTACACACACTACACTATTGTTATGATGGATGGTCTGAGCAAAGCGACATGTCAGTCAGCCCTAAAGTTAATGTGTTCTCCTGTCTACAGGTGTGGGTGTGCATGTGACTGAGAGGAGACGGGGCTTGGCTGTTTTTGGGTGCGGGACCATTGCGTCGCACACTGATGATGGAGGAGAGGAGGATGGTCACCACGCTGCTCCTGCTCGTCCTGGGGCAGATAACCACTGCACTGGAAGTCCCACTAGACCGTAAGGATGCAAATCACACAAAACAAAAGCAACCAATAAAAATGAAACATTCAGAATAGATGTTTGCTCAATGTAAGAAGAATATCTAGTTAGAACAATTAGAAAATACACCTTATATTCAATACCTTGAAAGGTGAACTATGTAACTTTTTTGTCACTTGCTTGTTTCTATAGATATGTCACTACTCCATCTGGAATTTTCCACAGTATGACATTAAACAGTTCAATTATTGATGGTTTTATAGCTCAAAGGTGCATATCCAGAAAACCAGGCATTCTGACTGTGAGCGAGATCCCTCCACAAATCCAACCTGTAACTTGGTCTGGTTTGGTCTTCATGAAGATATTATGGTTTAACTGTATATATTGCATTTATTCACATATAGTTGTTTTTACTTTTAAGCGAGTAAGCAAGCTATGAATGGGCTTGCCTCTCCACAGATTTGACCTGGTGGCATAATCTGCTACTTTTCTAGCTAGAGTTTGTCATAGTCTGGAACAATGCAGGCAAAGAATCAACATATCCGTGGTTAGAAGCACATTGTGGAACCTTCAAAAAGTTACATATTGCACCTTGAAAATGATCAAAACACAACCAAGTGTATGCATATCTTGTTCTTCTATTTTGATACTGTGACTTGCTGTTAACTTTCACCAATTGTCTTTGCAACTTTTTCACAAAATTGTATGCTTTTCTATGATATAGTAGAAGTAGCGTTCCTAAAAAATACTTCTATATTAAAACATTTTCACAGTAACGTCTGGTTTTCTGTCACTATTTGTCTCTTTCTTGGAACAAACACTAAAGTTCTTCAAGGATGTAAGTGGAAAATTGCCGTGAAGCTAAGAGATAGTTTTAGTCTGTGTGTATTTTCAAGTGTTTTGTTTTAAATGTGTGTGATTTTTGCAGTGGTCGCCCCGGCATGCAGTGTAATTTCTTTATTTGCTTGTTTTTGTTTGAATGCTGCTTTCGTGCTGTGAGAGGCTGTTTTCCATACAGCAATAATATAAACAGCATGGAGCCCTGATAGAATTTGTTTTGTCAAGGCCCATTAGTTATCTTCCCCGCTCAGAAAGGAATCCATTATAGGCTGTGCGTCGTTACAGTGGAGTCCGATGTACCTGCTGCATGTTCAGAGAGCTTTTCGTTGTGGCTGCTGCTGTCCACCCTGATGCACAGTCCTGAGTTTGCATGCTATTAGCCATGACCGCTGCTTGTATGGTCAATACGCCATACGCAAAGGCCTTAGTTATGCATTAAGCTTGTGATTGAATCTCTCCCTGTTTTTGATCGCCCTCAGTGTCGCAACCACCGACCATAACTCACCAGTCCCCTAAGGATTACATCATCGACCCGAGAGAGAACATTATAATCCACTGTGAGGCCAAAGGAAAACCGCATCCCAGGTACAGGCCTATACATGCACTTTATTTATAGTTCTGTCACCGTGGGAACAACAGCATTGGCAGTCCTATATATGCAGCAGGGTTATAGCTTGTCGTTGCCAATATATGGTAAAATGACTTTCTATAGTAAGTAAAGTAAAAATAAAAATAGCCTTACCCACACACAACAGTGTTCTGGCATCTTTCAATCAGTATTCACTTCCTCAGCAATTTTACTTCAGCATAGGGTTGTCAGAAATTATACTGAAATACTAATCTAAAGCTAAAACTGGTAACCACAAATTACATTCTATTGTCTAAAAATGTTATTTTCACCACTGTGGTATTAAATATCAAGCCTATTTTTTAAATATCAAAATTTAGTTTGTAGTATTGTAACAAATACTTCAGCACTACTGTTGCTTGAACCAAAAAGCCATTCATAGAAATACTTTAGCTTGAACTTTTTTTTCCCCACTAATTGACACATGCAGATAAGACTCACTGCTTTTTAACAAACCCACAGTAGTAACAGGTGTCACAATGAGGAATCAGTACTATTCATTTCAGTATAATTATATTTGGTGAATGTATTGTCTTATCAAATCTATGTCAGCTTCTCCTGGACCAGAGATGGGACCCACTTTGACATTGATCAGTTTCCAAACGTGAACATGAGGCCACGCTCCGGGACACTGGTGGTGGACATCAGTCATGAGAAGGCAGAGCATTATGAGGGCACCTACCAATGTACAGCACGCAACGACCACGGGACCGCTATATCCCACAACATAGTAGTACGACAGTCCAGTAAGTAGACCTGTGAATTTTGTACTCAAGCTGCTATGGCAAGTATTGTCACTGTACACTGTTAAAATTATTCTTAAAGGTAGCATTTTATTGCAGTGTACGGGCAATTGTAATACCATATTTTATCTTGTTTGGCCAGTTAATTTTTCATCCATCTCACTTTGCTTTATCCATTAGTGACCCATATATTATGTCAAATTATGATACTTGGACACAAATCACATGAATTGTCATATCTCTACAGGATCACCCTTGTGGTCAAAGGAGAAAATTAAACCAATCGTGGTTCAGGAAGGCGTGCCTTTGGTGTTGCCGTGCCGACCCCCAGCTGGTTTACCTCCACCCATTATTTTCTGGATGGATAACAGTAAGACTTTTAAAATCTCTTGTTAAAGATATTCTGGTCAGGTAGTCATTTCTCAGATGTTGAGACAATGGGGTCACATTCCTAATCTCAAGAATTAGGCTAGAGGATTTTTTGAGGTTTGGGAGGATCATGTATGAGGGTGATGAAATTTTGGTTAAGTTAAAGAAATTGGTCCACACATTTGTTCTAACTTTTTAAGGATTTTTTTTTTTTTTTTAAGAATAATTGATCTAATGTGTTTTTGCAACTTGTGTCAATTGTTTGTGTTTACTTGGCTATGATTCCTTAAAATTAAACTAAAAGAAGAGTATGGATATTTTAATAGTTCTACAACTTCTATGACTATTCTATTTTTTTAAAAAATATTATGCATAAATTGATTAGTTTGTAACCAGGCATTACAGTCTTCCCAATGCTCTTTGTATGTGTTATAGACTTCCAGCGGCTGCCCCAGAGCCGGAGGGTGTCCCAGTCTCTGAACGGAGACCTGTACTTCTCCAACGTGCTTCGTACTGACTCCAGGAACGACTACATCTGCTACGCCCGTTTCCCCCACACCCAGACCATCCAGCAGAAACAGCCCATCACCGTCAAAGTCCTCAACCGTAAGTTCCATGATAAAAGGAGGATTATTCATAGCTTGCTTTGTGTGTCGTGCTTCTAATTGAGCAGCACTGTGCAAAAGTTCTGTTAGTATAGATAAACTGTGCTGTTGGAGATGGTCAGAAAAAAAATTTATTACACAGAACTGTCCAGACCCGGATTATATTGGACCATATCCTTAATTTGACATGGGTCTATTACTACAATAATATGTATCTACTTCAGTATTATCCCTCTGTCTGATCCATGCAACGTTTGTGTGTATGAAAAATAAAGCACTTAATTCAGTTTAACATTTGTTCAAATATATGTAAAGAGAAAAATCATGCACATCGTCTTACTTACAAATTGTCTAATTTATTACTATGATGGTGTGCTGTATTTTTCTTGGGCATCTCTCTCACCTCCAGCGCACCAATTGCAAGAAATGAATGTGCAAAGTTCTCATTCTTTCAAATAGATTTACACATTTTGATTGATGAACTGGAAATGAATGCATACATACATTACAACCCATTTCAACTATGTCTATTACTCTATTATGTATATTACTCTATTATAACACCACAATTCCCAACTCTATTACAAAAATAAGAAGTACAATTCAGTATTCATAGCAGCACTCTTGCTTATCAGCATGTTTCTCACCTCAGTCAAACTTTTGCACAGTGCAGCATGTGTTGGTATGGCTGCGTAGGAGGAGAACAGTATTTCCTATCTCCTCGTCCATCCGTGGAGACGCCAGCGTTCCTGACTCCACTGAAAAGACATATTGTCAGGGTTCTGTGTGTTATCTGCTATGGAAGGCGTCCGTTTTATGGCTCTGTAAAATGTTCTGTCCTCTCCATCAACAAAGAAGGCTCTCATTCAAATCCATCTGGCATTATTTTCATCTATAATTTAATTCATAACTATATCATTTTTTTCAGTTGTTTTAAGTTGTATTTTTTTGCTGTTTTAAATGTGTGGTGTGTTTTGCTTTTTTGTTGTGTTACAGTGGATGCAATCAATGACACAGTGGCAGCTTTTTACAATGACACTGATTTATTTAGTGGTGAGTTTTGGCGCCCCCTAGTGTTAACCCACTGAACCTAGAGCTCCAGATGGTAGCTCTCACCCACTAACCTCTTTCAACCAGCTATCCACGGTTTTCATGGTGGTATTGGGGTATATTTTGGTGAGATGTGGCTCCCTCTGGTGGTTACCCCTACACTGTGGCTGTTAACCTTTCCTTACTAACCAGTGTGTCCCAACTTAAAATCCCAATTATAAAACCTTCACTCTAATTCCTCCTCAATAACTAACCGTCAGTGAGCAATATTAGCTCTTAATTAATTTCTCTCCTTGTTGATTCACTAAGCTCTGGAACTAATTTGGTGAAAAGGCATGTATTTGTTCTATTTATAATTCAGCTCCATTACAACATATTTTTTATTTAGTACTTTTCTTTAATTACTTTTTGCAGTATGCCTTTGGGTTTCATGTTTTCTTTCACCTGGTATCTGTTCATTTTATACTTTACTTTATATTATGCATCTCTGTTTATAATGCTTTTTTTTTATCAAGGCATGTAAAACGTTATTAACAAGTTAAACTAAACCAAATGGCCTTTTGAAGCCGATGTTTTGCTACCCACCAGGCAGTTTCATCGTGGTTTGTGTTGGTGATTGTGACTCCTACTACCTGTTAGCTAGTGAAACGTCAGCTACAAAAACTAAGTAGGTCCAGTTGGTTTAGTTTAACTTATTGATAATATCTTATTCCTGGATGTCTAAAAATTTGCATCACTATTATACTTTTCATGAACTGCAGATTACCATGTGTTATGTTGAGAATCTAGCATTTTCTAAATTAGAAATGACAAATGATTTGATCTGGCAACTTCAGAAGAAAACAAAGAAGAATCCGCATACCCAAAATGAATTGAGTGTTTTTTTGCTACTTAATGGCACAAACAAAATATGCCTCACGTCTTTCTTGCTCTTATTTTACGAGCCTATGTTAATATTGATCTTTATTGTCACCCCAGGGGCAAATGATTTAACAGCAAACATCCTTAAAACCAAAGTAATAAAAACACACATGGACTATAAAAATTTACATCTTACCATAAAATATGACAATAGTGGTCTCAAATGAAATGGCTTTCTGTCTGAGCCCTGCAGCCCTGATTAAATCACTACACATAATAAAACGAAGTGAGATGAGTGAAATGAGATACTTAGATTGCCTATAACGGTTAATCTTTGTACGTGAATGCAGAGGAGCCAGCAGATAAGCGACGGCCAACCTTCCTCACCCCATCTGGTCCGTCCAGCTCTAAGATGGTGCTGAGGGGCCAGGTGCTGGAGATGGAGTGCATCGCTGAAGGCTTGTGAGTACAAGAACGCACCGTGACTGAAGAGGCCACCTGCTCCACTGCCCTAATCACATGAATGACTCTGTACTTCTGTCATTGTGAACGCAGGCCAACCCCTGAAATCTCCTGGACCAAAGTGAGTGGAGAGCTGCCAGGAGAGCGCACATCCTTCCTGCACTACCAGAAAACGCTGCGTATCGTGAATGTGTCCGAAGCAGACGCCGGGGAATACCGCTGTGAAGCCAGGAACCCACTCGGCTCAGTGCACCATACCATCCATGTAACAGTCAAAGGTGAGGCTCAAGGATAGCAACGTTAGTGCTATATAGTATTACTGTGTAAATCTACAACTACTCAGACTGAACTCAAACTTCAAGTCTTACAATGGTAAAGACCTCAACAATAATATTTGTTTGATTTAATGTTCAGTTGTCAAAATGGTCTTGTTCCTGGATCAAAATTATTATCTGGAGCCATACACCCAACTAAATAAGTTTTTCCTGTGTTCATATGTAGCCTTTTTTTAAACTTCATTGCTAAACAATATGACTATACAAAATTCAAATCATGAGCTCATCTCTGACGTTATGCTACTTTTGGAGGAATCGTCTCTGTTTTTACCCATCCACTCCTCCTTTTGGTCAGCCTTTCAGATAGAAAGGCTAGAGTAGATATCTAGCTCCAAGAAAATCATGACAGGAATTTTTTTGTCAAGTCACCCATCTCTACTTGTTAACATAAATTAAAACAGAATAAAAATCCTTACTTTTCTTTAAATGGATTAAATGCAATATTACCAGTGCAGAAAAGTGTCATTGTTTTTAATATTTTATTTCCTTATAGTTGATTCATGCACAGATGTCAGAAGGGCAGTCTGTAGAGTTACTAATGCTTCACCCGTCTGCTCCTTCTTGTTCTCAGCTGCTCCATACTGGATCAGCGGAGCTCCCAAGAACCTTATCCTGGCCCCAGGGGAGAATGGGGCTCTGACCTGCCGGGCCAGTGGCACCCCCAAACCCTCCATCAGCTGGGCTATGAATGGGGTCCCCATAGAGAGTGAGTGCACTGCTGTATTTTTCCTGTTAAATGACAGTGTTTCAGATCACATTTAGAACACTTTATAGGCCGGTTGTTAATTTGCAGCTGATGCCATCAACTTTCTCTGGTTGTGTGATGCCAACTGTAGGCTAAGCTCTGTCTGAGGCTTTATTACTTTTTAATCTGAGTTTTGTTTAAACACCATTTGATGAGAAAGAACTGTTTTTGCTGGAACAAATTTTCAGACAGTCTTAAAAAAATGTTCACAGTTTTTGTTCATGTATGCATTGCATTACCATGACAACTCCTAAACATCCCATTACATGTACAACACCCCCAGCGTGATGTCATTGCAAAATATCCACAGTATTTCATACAAATGGCTGGTAGCTAAAAGGTTTTTGCTAAGATATCAGGAACTTAAGTTTAGTGATTCTTGTCACTAATGATCAGGTTCAGCAGCATTGTGTATATATTTCATGACAAGGTTTTGCTTTAATATAATAGATTAATGGTAATTTTGCTTCAACAGACTCACCGAGCGATATGAGTAGAAAAGTGGACGATGACACTATCATTTTCACCAATGTCCAGACAGGCTCAAAAGCTGTGTATCAGTGCAATGTTTCAAATGAATACGGCTACCTCCTTTCCAATGCCTTCGTCAATGTGCTCTGTAAGTATTTTTAGCCAGCTCTATTTGCATTAAAGCATACTTTCCCATTTTCATTGATTGAACAATAGTAATAACATTGAAATAATTGATGCTGGTCCACTACAGCGGAGCCGCCCAGAGTGCTGACGCCAGCCCACCAAGTTTACCAAGTCATCAGAAACCACCATGCCCTGTTAGACTGCAGTTCTTTTGGCTCGCCCATCCCTGAAATTACATGGTGAGTTAATTTACTGCAGTATGTTTAATAAATTATGTTTGTAAAGTCAGGATTATTCAGATGTGTTGTTTCTCCCAGGTTCAAAGATAGTCGAGCCAGCACCCTCAATTCAGACCCTTATAAAGTATACGACAATGGCACTTTGGAAATACAAGGAGTTCAGACAAAACATAGTGGCAAATACACCTGTGTGGCTACAAACATGCTTGGGATCTCAGAAAATCACGTCTATCTGGAGGTTAAAGGTAATCATTATTATTTTATTTTACTATATTTTACTTTTATTTTACCTGGAGGTACCATAGAGATTCCGAATATTTTTTTCAAGAGAGACCTGACCAAGGTAGCAGCCAGCAAAATTAATACAAACCAGTACAATCACAAAATATCACATTATAAAACAATCTGCATCTCTCAAGAAAAACAAACACATGTCTTAGTCACCACACTTTTTGCAATTTTCTTCAACTTATCAAGTAACACCATATTTTGACCTTCTCTTCAGAACCGACGCGAATCCTCAAACAGCCTGAGTACAGAGTGGTGCAGAGGGGCAGAGCAGCAGTGTTTGCGTGTAAAGTCAAACACGACCCGACCCTCACCCCAACCATGACGTGGCTCAAAGACGATGATGAGCTTCCTGATGATGACAGGTGAAGCATCTCTCATTGAATTTACCTTATTTTTAAGGAGACTTATTAAGCTATTTCCTGAGCATAGTAAGGCTGAGTTCTTCTCTCAAACAAACAAAAAAAATTTGTTCCACCTTGTTATGTCATGTAGTAATACAGGAAGTGCTCCACTGTATTTTTAAACTCTATACACCTTCACTAGAATCATTTGGATAAGTTCATCCCTGGAATTTCCAATTTTTACTAAACAAAAGATAAAAGGCAGCTGTTAACTTGAAAACTACAGTGTCATGACATCACTAGGTGGAACAGACCATTCTGAGCTTTGGAGATGTAGACAGACTAATAATAAAAGGTTATACAAACATGTGTGAATGAAACAAAGCATAACTCCAACTATGTTTATGAGGAGGTAACATCATTCTAACATGGCTTAAAGCGCATAAGAGTCAGTTTTGCGTAATATAGGACCTTTAACCTTTTAACACTCTGGCCTTGATGTAGATTTGGTTTACAGATAAATAATAATAGCAGTGGTACTTAGAAGCAAAACATGTTTCTATAGCTGTATTGAAAGTTGCGTGATAACTTTTAGCTTTGCTTTTCTTTCAGGCTGATTGTGGACTCAGATAGTCTGACCATCACTGACGTAAACGACAATGACGCTGGAGTCTACACCTGCATCATGAACACCAGTCTGGACCACGACTCAGCCAGGGCAGTGCACAGTTGTTGGTAAGTCACGATTTTATTTTATCACGAGACTCTCAAATGGTTTAACTATCTCTCCTTAGCTATCTCTCTCTTTAACTATCTCTTTGGTCTTCCTCAAAAGCAGTCATACAGTTACCTCTTGAGCTCTTATTGAACATGGCCTTGTAATGGGCGAAGAAAGTTCTGTAAACAGCTTGAGTGTTTTATAACTCATCAAATCACGGAATATCAAAAACATTTAGGACTAACTGACTATAACTTCTGTACTTGCCCACCCGTCTGACAGAGGCCACGCCCACTCCACCTGTTGTCTATGGTAAACTTGTGTTAACTTGAGCACATTCTGGCTGAGTATTGTATTGGAGTATGTGGCGCATGCTGTATCCAAGGATGCTTTCTGTTCATGACGATCAAACAAGTGTCTATTTATTTTACACCGAAATTGTCTGAATGCGCTTTGTCTGTTTGTGATGTGTAAGTGAATGCAAAAAAAAAAATCATTGATTTCTCTGCTTAGCATTTGTTGTTTTGCATTATTTTCATTCAAAGCATGTCTTCCACATTATTGTCATTATCAATATTCAAATAAGCTTCAGTTCACCCTCTCCAGCGAGTCTGTTTCATGCTGAGTGATTATGGAACATGCTCAACTGGAGCATCCTTAATTGTACACACATAATGCAGTCCCTGCATGGATACAGGAACGAACTGTATTCATTTGTAATTAACATTGTATGTTTGAGTCCCAAAAGCATTTTCCCAAAGCATTATTTGAAAAGAAATACATCTCTATCTAGTCTTATGTTTGATATTTATGACAGTCACAGCAGAACTAGTTAATATGCTGTAGTAGTTTACTACTACTTTTTACAGATGGTGTTGTGACAATACTAAAATTCCAAACTCTGAATTGAATAATGAGTTTTTTTCTTAGCATCAAAACTGAGTTTATCTTTTTAGACAATACTGCGTAATTTTCAGTACAAAATATGAATATTTTCTTTAACAATACCATCTGGTCCCTTAATAGGTCTTTTTATATAGACCGTTCTAATACTATTCAGGAAAAGTCCAACTTTCAAGATATTACAGCATTTTTCCCAGCTCTGGGCCCTCAAATCTGTGCATACATTGAAGTGAACATTTAGGTGTTCATGGTCATGGTGGTCATTTTCATTGTCATTTCCCTGCATGGCCCCTTTAGTTCTGTAACTATTCGGTGTGTAAATGTCATCTCATTGTGCTGTAATGTCTCTTTCAGAGTCCCCTGACCCTCCAACTGACCTCGAACTGACTGACCCAAAAAAGAGGAGTGTCCATCTTACGTGGACACCTGGAAATGAAAACAACAGCCCTATTGAGAGTACGTACAAAAATAAATAATAAATATACAAATATACTGTTGTCAATCCAGAATATTGTATACAGTATGACCTTATTTTCAACTTCTGAAAAATGTGCTATAATATTCAATTTTAATGACATGTTGTAGTTTTGTTGTAAACGCTCTAAGCTCCGCCTGTGGGGAGATGTTTGAGAGTATTTTGTACAAAACATATTTTTGTAATGTTATATCTGTTCGACTGCACTGTAAGTCTGTAGTGAACTGAATGTACTCCTATTGATTAATATTAATATCAGCACCACATTGTATCCAGAGTTCATTATCCAGTACGAGGACTCCCTGCACCACAAAGGCCACTGGCACAATCTGACCGAGGTCTCTGGGATGAAGACCACAGCTCACCTGAAGCTCTCTCCACATGGTCACTACATCTTCAGAGTCTTGGCCCTGAATGGAGTGGGACTGAGTCAGCCCAGCCTCCCGTCACGCATGTACAAGACTGAACCTGCAGGTACTCAAGGACTACTACAGTAAATATGCATTTATGTACAGGTGTCAGATTGCTGCTAAAATATGTTGTATTATGTCTTTCTTCAGCTCCAGATGAAAATCCAACTGATGTTCATGGACAAGGCACTGAACATGACAATCTGGTGATATCATGGAAGGTAAAAACATAAAATGGTCTATCTGGGTTTAGGTTTTGGAAAAGCCAGATATTTTTTTTTTAAAAGTAAAAAGTAAAAATAACCTTCTGTCATGTCAATCACTATTTAATCTTTGCACTGTTTTCTCCTCACAATCTCATAGAGAGATAGATTTATATTACTATATTTCAATATCTTTTGAATTTTTAACTTGTACATATTAGGGGTGTAACGATTCACAAAAATCACAGTTTGGTACGTACCTTGGGTTTAAGGTCATGGTTCTGTTTATTTTCAGTACAGTATGGGAACAAAATGCAAAACCATTTGTTTGTTGTACAAACGGGAAAATAAAATAAATGCAAAGTGCTGCTTGGTAATACTAAGTTAAATAAAATATTCTCAAATAAGCAACAAATGTATGAAATTTTATTAAAAAAAATAAAATAATAATAATAATAAACTCCTTGTAAACAAAACTTTCAAACTCTTCATATTTTTGGCCAGAAAAAAAACAACTTATCCACACTTTAATATTACCATTTATACTTTGCTCTCTGTTATTATAATATATTCTAATGTGTGAGCTACTGTGCCCAAATCATTTCCCTTGTGGATCAGTAAAGTTTGTCTAAGTCCAAGAGAAAGAGAACCACTGCTCTAAATTTATGCAAAAATCACTATTACTGGATGCTAGAGGAAGACAATCCAATATATTCGGTCTTGAAAGTAAAATTATTTCTGACTACAAAATGGCATTGGAATGAACTTTAATCTTTACCCTCTGCAGCCACTCACACCCACCCAGGCGAATGGTCCTGGGCTGAAATATAGGGTCAGTTGGAGGCAAAAGGGAGTGCACAATGACTGGGTGACTGCAACTGTTCACAATGCCTCCAAGTTTGTGGTCTCTGGAACGCCTACATTCGTCCCTTACGAGCTGAAAGTCCAGGCTGTGAATGACCATGGCGCAGGACCGCAGCCCGCCATTTCCCACGGATACTCAGGAGAAGACTGTGAGTAGTACTGACTCCTGGGACCTTTCAGAACAGTAGCCCTGCGGGGATGTTTTGGTTTACATAACTTATTCTTCTATTTTTTTTCTCTCAGTGCCTTTAGCTGCTCCAGACAACGTTCAGGTCCAGGTGATCAGCAGCACTCAGGCAGCAGTGCACTGGGAGGCCGTGCCTACGAGACTACTGCGTGGACATCTCAAGGGCTACAGGGTGAGCTGTGATTCAAACATAATGAAAATTACATAATGCAGCTTTAAATTTGTTGCTGAGGTTTTATAGTATGTTGATCAAGAACTATATAAAAAGACTGACAGAAGTCAACATAAGCCGTTAACAGTTGGATAAAGTTGGTGTTAAGTATGACATGACAACATATAATATAATTTAACTACAATTTATTATATTCCGTATCATTCAGCACCCAACAGTAGACTATCCATGTGTTTCAGAATGTAGAAAAACTAAGACAGTTGCATAGCAATTAACAATTAAAACTAAATATATGTTATGAATTGTGACAAGTCTGCAAAATGTCACCTATAACAGGAAACTAAATCCATGAATATCTGTAACAGGTGTACTACTGGAGAGAGCAGAGTCTCCACAAACACAGCCATCACCACACAGAGAAACAGGTCCTGACGTTCAGCGGGAATCATACTCACGGCAAACTGCCTGGCCTGCACCCCTTCAGCCAGTATGCCCTTCACATTCGAGCGTTCAACGGCAAAGGGGAGGGTCCACCCAGCTCCATCCAGATGTTTGAGACCCCTGAAGGAGGTACTTTTTGTTTTATGGTTAAATGTCTGCACAAGACTGTTAAAAACCTAAAATACATACACACATAAATCAAGGATACTGTAAATGACTTAACTGTTATAGGTAGTTAAATGCAATGATGCTCAAAATTTAAATTCACATTATTTATGTATTTAAAAAGAAAGTGCAGTTTTTGCATTTGTACTCAATAATTTCTGCACATTAACCATATATACATGTAAAAAAAAAAAAATAGCATTAATAAATCGCATTTTGTTGATTTCTTAAATAATAAATTAATACTGTATAGTAACAAATAGTTGCTGATTGTTGTTTGTTTTTCTTTTTTTTCTAGTTCCGGATGCACCCTCTTCTCTTGCCGTCACTGATTCAAACGTTGACTCTCTGACTCTTGAGTGGAGTCCTCCTCACGGCCACAATGGACACATCATTGGCTACACTCTCAAGTATCAACCTGGTAAGGCTTTTGGGCAGTACTATTTTTATTTTAGTTATGTTATATAGGACATGAAATCACACATACACTGTCCTTATTAGTGTCTTATATACCATTTAGTTCTAATAAAGTGAAAATTAATCCTGTCATTTAATAGCATTTTTCAAGCATATTCTAATTTTGAACACAATTTAACAAACCAACTTTGTCACTTTTTCCATTCTCATCCACACTTGTATCATTTACTTTCATTTTTCCATTTAAAAACCTCTAAACCCTATTCAAAATCTTCAAACCTTTTATTTATCTGACCTTACAACCTCCCAACTCCACCCCCACTTGCCCTCATCCTGTTCATCCTACCATCACCATAGTCAATAACACCCATGAGCTGGGCCCGCTGGAGGAGCTGGCCTTACCTCCCAATGAGACCTCCGTCACTTTGCTCAACCTCAAGTACAGCACGCGTTACAAGTTTTATTTGAACGCAAAAACAATGGTGGGAGCAGGCCCTGCCATCTCTCAGGAAGCAGTCACCATCATGGATAAAGGTAAGAAGGCAAAAGTGAAAGATTTCATGAATATGTTATAGTTGAATCTTTAGTTAAGTCTAAAAAGCTACTTTTGTGATGCTAATTGTCTTATTGTTGTGAGTACTGTGCAAAAGGTTTATGTGGTGTCAAAAAAACCTCCAGATAAGAGCACTTTTTCTTTGTTATCGCAAGACAAAACTAGTACCTTTACAAGTGTCTGTGCTCTCTCAGCACTCCTAATAGATTGCTTTGATTTAAAAATATATTTTATAGACACACCTCTCCTTATATATAGTCTGTACTGTTATAAACCTTTCCACAGTATTGACAATTTTATTCCTAAAAGTAAACATTTCTACCATGAGTGTGATCCTTTTGCACTGGTCCACTAAGGTGTTTGCTGTCCTTTATTGATTCTGTCTAAAATGACCTCTCTCTTTATCTTTCTATCAATCTCCTTCAACAAGCTTTACTATCTCAACCTGACTTACATTTGGGGACAGGTACCAGCCTTTTTACAATGCTGCATGTTTGTCAGCACTCCATAAAGGGTCCATAACTCTGTGTGTACATTATTCATTTTGAAACAATTTCCCTGGCGCCTCTGACATATTGAGTAGCCTTCTGCTGAGTTCAGAGCTTTGGAAAGTTCAAAGCCCCATAGATAAAGATGCTGTGTGACATGTGTCTCTTTAATGTTTGCTGATAAAACTGGACGACTTCTCAAAGTGCTCAGCTGCATTTCTTTTGCCTTTGGTGGTTGTGATCCATTTTGCATTGGTTAATATATATTTATATTTTTGTCATGGTGGCTGCTGATCTGTGGCTCTGAGAGGATCTGCATGGCATGCCAATGAACTGTGTTGCTCTGTGTAAATTGACTTTGTGCGTCTTGTGTGTGGTGCGGTCTTTACCCATTTTCATGTTGTTTACAGGGGACATCCAAACCTCTCATCCCAATGCACAACCGTATCCACGCCAACCAACCCACCAGGGTACTGATTATGCTGGGTTTGGTAGTTATCTAGACAGACTGATAAGGCATAACATTAAGATCTCAGGCAAGTGAAGGATTCAAACCATTCAAACTGGGCCTTGCAAGTGATTATTATGATCTGAAGATTGATCAGACACAAAATTACCAAAATTGTAATGGCAGCTTATGTTGTGGCCATATGTGCTTGTCAAAGCCTGATGTAGTTGTACCTCAGAAGTTAAGCAAAACCATACATGGTTACCACTTGGATGGGAGACTGCTTGGATTACCAGCTGCTTAAGTGGAACAGCAGTGGAACAGCAGAGGCTCCAGCAATGGAAAGTGCTGTTGTGTGCTTAGGCAAAATACTGCACCCACGAGTTACCTAGTACAAATGTGGTGTGTGCGTAAGCGCTGGTGTTAGGAGGCTGATCTTAAGCACTGATTTCGTTGGTCTACAGGGGTAGCTATGGCCACAGTAATACCTTTTCCCCCAAAGAATATGGAGGGAACGAATAATGTAATGTAAAGCACTTTGGGTGTCTTCAAAGGCATACATTATTATTATAAATTGGTGACAATTGTGTGAAAACAATTGTGTGAAAACAAAGGTCAGTGCATTCCAAGGCAACAATTGCATTAATACATTAGAAAGTGGAAATAATGTTATGTCTAATCCCTGTCTGTTGGTGCATGTAGTGTATTCATAAAATCCACCAATCATATCCATACGCTCTTTTGACCAGCAGAGCAATCATTCTGGCTGTCTTTTCTCCCTTGTGCGTAGCGCCCCCTGTGAGCGAGGATTTTGGGAATGTTAGCTCGACGGTTGCAGATGATGGAGTCCTGATCAGTTGGGAGTACTCGGGCCCGGAGAAAGACATATATGTAGAATACAAAATGAAAGACAGTAAGCACCCCATACTTCTTCTGGACTGCTGCACATAGGTGACAAGAGACCCCTACTCCATAATTGCCCTGTGCAGGTGAATAGAAATATTGGCAGTCACAGTCCGGCTTGTTCTTGCCAACATGGGCCCAGATGTGATAAACTAGTGAGTCTGTGATTGCATTGCTAATTATGGTTGTGCTATTGATGAGAGATGCAGCTGAATTTCCCAGGACAGGCTCTCTCGAAGTCAAACTTGTGTAGATAAGCATCGCGCAGTAGCACAAACATTCCCGTTATGCCAATTAATTTTGTCTGAAGAGCTCTTCCTCGTTTTTATCCACCTGCAGAGGAGATGAGAAATATTGTGTTATGGTAGTATGGCTCTCTCACACCTACTGTTTAATGAATTCATTTAGGAAATCATAGGCTGCTGTGAATTAGAGCACATGCTAATCAAACAATATCATTAGTGAGTCTTTTTCTCCCTTTACCTCACATAGATTCAACACTACCTATTAAATATACAGTCACAAGTCAATACATCACATTCCAATCAGTGTTAAATTTATTCATTTTATGTTTGATTAGACTATTAAGAATTAGCTTTGTTAAAATATTTGAACTTGTCATTAGTCTGACAAACTTAAAGTGTATATGGCAGGTTTTCATGTTTTTTGTATTTATTACTTGGGTTGGTAGAATAGTAACTTGTTAAATATATTCATCGTACTTTTACATAGTTAAAAAGTAAATGGTTTTAAGTGGTAGTGCGTGAAAATAAAATTGAGAAGAAAAGTAAAAAAAATACAGTAAGTAGTGCTGAGATTTCAGTCATCAACACTGAAAAAAAGACTGAGGCAATTTACTGGCAATTTCTGGCACTTTAAACCCTCATTTAAAACTAAAATGCGCTGTCATTTATTTACCAGTGTTCAATTTGGACTGGCTTTGGCCCTTTCTAACTCTAGTGTTGTTGTTGCTTGGTAACAGTTATGAAATTACTTTTGTACCATATGTCATATTTGCTGTGTCCAACCAGGAAGTACTTTTATTTAAAAAAAAAACCAAAAAAACCTAGGCAAGCTTCTTAGTAGTTTGTTAAAAGTACACTGCGCAACTTTTCACGTGGAGAGTCGTCCACCTGCTTGTCTCCTGGATTTTATGACTTGAAAAATTTCCATCTAGCATTTAAGTGTTTCTGTTGCTCAAAACTTAAATAAAAAAATAGCCGTGACTCTCCACAGATCTAAATTGCAATGTAACTTTGTGCTGTAACCTGCTTGTTTTCCTTGTGATAGACAGGCTTTATCTATACTGTGGAGCCTGGAACATTTTAGACAAAGCAATAACATTTCTATCTAGACATGGTGGACCCTCTACTAGAAATGTTCCGTAGTGCACCTTTTAAATGAATAGTCAAACCTGTCATATTCACTTAAAAACCTAACAATGTACCATGATCCCTGGCCCATACACATAAAACAGTCCCTGATTGCACCTCTCTGTATGACCATCCCCACTGCAGCCGAAGGTGAGGAGTGGCGCAGAGAGCTGGTGAATGGCTCTCAGAACTTTGTGGTGAGGGGCTTAAAGGCGGGGGTCTCCTACTGGGTGCGTTTGGTTGCCAGCAGCGCACCTGATCTACCCCCCCAGCACTCTCAGGAGCTCTTGGTCTCCGTGCCAGGTGAGGCTCAGTCCGGGGCAAACTGTGTACTTTGTTGGCTGTAGACCATGTTGGCGATTGTGGTGTAACAGTGTTGTTGTTGATGTGGTTGTTTTTTTGTTGTAAGAGAGGCATGCACTGTAGTGAAAGCATGGATAGAAGTAGGCGTCACTTTCAATCAGTATTATCAAGAGTATACACGTCATAGTACTTCTATCTAATAACATGATTTCTGCATAACTACCATGCTAACACGTATTACAGTATATTCCTTGGCTTTGAGTGAGTGTGTTTAAGGGCAGCACAATTTTAGAGGGCATTTGTCCGTTTTTCTGATGAAATTTTAGTATTCACATTTTACAAAGGAAATAATTTGGGTAATTCCAGCACTAATCAGAAGTCAAAATCAAGACTGGCTGAGTTTTGTCGCTTTGCAGTTTTGTTTAATAACTGATTTCTGATTTCTTGCTGATTTATTAAAACTTGAGATATTTTGTGCAGTCCTCTAAAGAGTAATAATTTTCACGTTCTGTCTTGTAATTGCTTAACTTGCTTTAACAGTTCTTTCCCAAATTTAACTCCAATTACTTTCTTTTCTAACTGTGCAAACTTGATCCACTCATCTAACAGTGAAATTGTACTAAAACTCAAAACATATTGTACTGTTCTATGTTTTTGTTGTAACAATCACTATCTCTCCCAAAAAGAAATGGACTGCCTGTTCTAAAAATGTATTTCTGTCTCCAGCGGTTGCTAGTCGACAGGTGGATATTGCCACTCAGGGCTGGTTCATTGGTCTCATGTGCGCCATCGCCCTCCTCATCCTCATCCTGCTCATTATCTGCTTCATCCAGAGGAATAAAGGAGGCAAATACCCCGGTGAGCAGCTGCACACACCCACACGTTTGACTTGTTGTTATTGTTTTGTTTGCTTGTGGATTTCCATATACACATTAGCCAAGGTTCGGTGTGATATTAGAGTAGACCCATCAATAACATAAATCGCAGATTAGACCACACAGTTTGTAGACAGAAACAACAACTCACAACTTTGCATGGGAATTCAGCAACATGTCTTATGCACTATGTAACATTTCTGAAGTAGGACCTACCTCTTACTTGTGATATAACAGACCACCTAAAAAAATGTGAACATCATGAAAAAGTATATTTTACATTATATAGACTCATGACACATAGAACTTTTTCATGATATTCAAATTTACTTTATTTATCTGTAGATGTAATTGTTTTGCCTGTCATTTTCTGCAGCATGGTGTACAGGTGTTTTAATTTGCAAAAAAAAAAGTATGTTTTCTTGGTGTAAGCAAGGTCACCTCTCCTCAGATCTGACCTTTAACTTGCAGTTTGAACTAATGGCATCACCTCGCCAATACGGACATTGATTTTTTTATCTCCATACCTCCTGGCAAAGCAGTCACATCTCCGTGGAGACGAGCGAATGACATATTCTTCAGCAGAAGTTACATATGAAGCTTTAAGCAAAACTAACATACATTAGTGTTGATGAAATAGAATGTTTTCTAGCTAAACCCAGGTATTGTTGTCCATTCTCATGTAGAAAATTTACTGGGGTTTGTCAGTATTTTCAGTAAAAAAATCTCATTGCTGTCTTGTTAATACTAGTATATTTAATTGGTTCCCTGTTCCTTTATGTCATCAGTTAAAGAAAAGGAGGATGCACACACTGACCCAGAGTTCCAGCCCATGAAAGAAGAGGACTGTACTTTTGGTGAATACAGGTGAGACAAACATCTGTCGTCTCTGGAGCCCCCAGAGCCTAATATCCATTGACCTGCTGGGACATGTCGGCCATCTTGTTTTCAAACTTTTCAAACAAAAACTACTGACCCAGGACCCTCCTTATGGAAATATAAACTACATCTGAACTTCTAGCCGCGTTAAAAGCACAAGATTCTGTTTTGGAACGTCCTGAATGGCACAAGTTTGTAAGAAGTGGTTTGTGACGACATTGTGGATGTCATTTGAGAAGGAGGATTTTTCCGCTTTTGTCAGATGAATGAGTTTTGCCTTTAACAATGTTCAGGACAGTATATAAGCTATTCCATTTGCAACAAGCCTATACTTATGTTCTCCATTCCAGCTGTAAGAAAGCTCTCCATTCACATCTAGTGACATTTTAACTGCCTTGTGATCATGATTACAGTTTAATGAACCATTCCTGCTAACTATGAGGCCCACTTATGCTTGCCAGTAGCATCCTTCTTGTAGGCTGCTGCTTCAATCGCACGCAAATGAGTAAGCACTTTACCTGTGTAGAACTAGCATTTTTGAATATTTTTTTTATAAGTCTGTTTATAAGATGTTATTGCTTTTATATTTGTATTAATTTTGTATTATCTCTACATAAATCTGTTTTATGAATATTATAATGACAGATACATATCGAAATATATAGTGTGATATGCATGGTTTGAACTTTGCTTTAGGCAATAATGTGTTTAATGGAATCTGCTGCTGGATGCTTGTGTCTCTATAAAGAAGCTGTCAGCATGTTTAAGAAAGCAATCATTATTGAGTGCAGGATATGTTTTTCATCCATTAAGGCCATAATGAGGCATTTATATAGTGACTCAATGCATCTACTTTTAAATCTATACAGGAAAGAAGACACTTAATCACAAGGCAAACTGTACCAATAATATAGTGCCTTTGTGAAGTTACAATACTATATGGCCACTACACAGAGCTCAGAATCGTTCGGTAGGGATATACTACTCTGCTGTAGCTTTAAGTGTATTGCCCCAAAATGAATGATAATCCACTTCACTGTATACAGAGTGCACTCCTCAGAGTGAGTGTGGGATCCAGGCGTTCTCAGGAAAGGTAAGGGTTTGGAGGAGGGGTGAAGACGAGCCCGGTCACTGTGGAGAAAACATCTGGTCCCACTGCCTTCATTGTGTACACGCTTTCACAGTGAATTGTATCTCCTCAGACAAGCCCAAAATATGTCTATCTTGGCCAAACTTAACTTAAAAACCTGTTTACACAAGGGTGCCATTTTATGGACATGTATTTGTTACATTTTTGGCATGTTGACTTGTTGATTTGGTACCATATCAAAATTTTGAGTCAGTATCTTGGTCTAAGATGTGAATTATTTTGGGTTTAACTGTCTATGCACACATTTACATTATGAAGGCTTTGTGGTCCTATCTCATCAGTGTTCAAACTCATGTATGTTCAGCACTAATTCAAAGTGTTCAAGTGTTAGCAGATTTCTTTGCATTTTGCCAATGTGTAATTACAGCCATGCTTGCTTTGGTGGATATGTTGCTTTTCAAGTTAACTTCACACCATTGCCTTGGATTTTCAGTTCTTCATTACCGTTTGGACGTAGCGGCTCTGTACCACTTCATACTTGGTTTCAGGGGGAATTTGAAAGGGGTCTGTTGCTTGAGATTTATTCCCCTGTTGCTTGATTGAAACCAACAAATCATTCAACACTTTTCAACATGGGGCATTATGAATTTAATGTGAAGACGTACATTGAATCTTTACTCCAAAATTATTTTACAAAAGTTACCACTCCCTACAGTTCTATTGGTAGGCTGTGGTAAACCTAATGCTCCATCTACAAAAGTGCTCACTAATGTTTGTGTTTGCATCTGTCACACCATCTCACTGTAACGCCTGCATGTGGTTTTCTCCTCCAGTGACAATGAGGACCATAAACCGCTAAAGGGGAGCCGCTCGCCTTCTAACGGGACAGTTAAGAGAGAAGACAGTGATGACAGTTTAGTAGACTACGGGGAAGGAGGAGATGGACAGTTCAACGAGGACGGCTCCTTTATCGGCCAGTATAGTGGAAAGAGTGGCAGCAGGGACAATCCCGACGGCCCAGAGAGCTCAGAGGCACCCTCCCCTGTTAAGGCCATGAACTCATTGAACTCTTTTGTGTAGATGACTATGCTCTACAAACACGTTTCTAGTGGACTCTGCACTGACTGGACAAGTTCACTGTCTCACAGCTGTCTATTTTTGCATGCATGCCATCAGTGCCGCACTTAAAAACACATTTGTTTTGGCTTATAACATTTGCTCATACCTTGGGTAGGATTAGTTGGTAAAAGTAGGTCTGACAATGCATGGATTACTTGATGCCACCTAAATTCAATATCCAATACTGAATCTAAACTTTCACTGTTCTCACAATCTATGGACTATGCAGCGCTTGTCTGATCTATATTTGTATTGGTTACAGAAAAAAATCGTTATACTATGTTTGAGTAGTAATCAGAGTATAACATGTATATCCCCATGTATTTCACAATTGTACAGGACTGTATATTTAATATTGTTTGTTAGTATAAGTACATGATGAAACTGATCATGTACAGTGTAAATATATTTAAATGCATATATATAAATATATGGACTGCGTGACCGAGAGGAGCAGAACCCAGCGCACCCCACAATGGATCACTTCTTCACATTTCCATCTTTCTTCACTGTGTTGCATTTGAGCTCAGAGTGGATTGGCACGTGGTGCTCATGGTTTTGGCCCTGGTTTTGACTTGTCAGGCTGAGGGAGAGTTTGGTAAACACTGAGGTGGGACTGCAGGCCTCGAGTCGTCCTCCACAGGTAGTGCCTTTTTCTGGACATTCAATGGTGAACAGTGTTTATATTGGGTTCATGCGACATCACAATATACTCAAATCCCCAAAGTGTAAAAATTAAGCTGGAGGACAGGGCAGAATTCTATGGTGGAATTTGCTGTCAGGTTTACAGATTTGGTTAATATCTATGTAGCGACTTTGCCTATTCTCATGAAACTAAAACTGACGCCAAGTCCAATGTCTTCTCTGTCAATTTGCATAAACAAAAGTGAAATATTTTTTCACAATGGCTTTAGAAAGTGATGCCATTATTTAACCCAAAGACTTTGATATGGCAAGTTCGTAGAAGAGATGTCAAAACAAATAATGATAAGGTTCAACATTTGTGGAACATAAATTTGGGTATTTCTTAAGTAAAAAAAACAGTAAAGCTCCCATAGACTTACATAACCCCTGCCCTCTAGCCTATTGGAAGAGGAATTATTCATACACTCCACATCTCTCTCCATCTCGCTACCTTCAGAACTTGACGTCAGATCAGAGCTAAGAGTTAAGCTGTGTGGTGCATTTTGAATCTTCATTGAAAATATGGACTGCGATTGTACTATTGCAGTGAATGTACTGTATGTTTGTTTCTGTGTGCTCCTCGTACTTTTTTAAACTAACAAAGCTTGAGAGCCTTTGGTTGGAATCAAGATTTATTTTGTCTTAACTTGCATCAAGTTCTTTTTGGTTGAAAATGTGTAAATATCTAAAAGGGTGTACAGGGAGGAGGCTGTTATTGTGCATGTCATGGTTTAACTTGTGCATAGGACTGTATTAAATATAGACTACTTTTAGAGAATATATATTATTTTTGATTGCCTGTGCACATAGATGGTGTATTGTAATTTTATGACCATGTTTTGATTTGCTTGTCACATCTTCTTTGTTTTGGTATATTTCAACATGATATAATGTAACAATATTGGTTTGAATTGGTTTTACAACAGTCCTGGTTTACTGCCAAAAGCAATTGTGACAGTTTTGCCAATGGTTTTGTATTTATGAATTATATTTGTACTAACAGATATTTTTAAGTTTCTATTTTAAGTTTCACTTTTTAGAGCAGAGCATCCAAATGTCAAGCATCTGGAAATAAAGTGAATGATGAACATCTGTTTTGATTTGTTTCTCTGTCTTTTTCAAATTATTATTTTTTTTTGTATTTAAGTAAATGACCTTTGATTTCAAGATTACATTACAACAGATAAATATAGGTCTGTTTCAGGACTATTCTAAACTTGATAAAAATGGAAAAACTAAGAGGCAAATAGTGACAAAATACCTCAAAATATCACATGAAACAAAAACAGTTTGATGTTTGCCAGTAAAAAAAAAAGAAAACAGATTTTGTTTTTCACAATAGCCTCAGAAATTGGCATCATTATTTAAACCCAATTATGTGATTGTTGTCTGCTGAAAGGACTTTAAACCGTAAGATTAATATGTCAAGTTTATGGAGCCACTTCCAAACAAATAATGTTCAACATTTGTGGATTCACTTTTCAAAAAACATGAATCTCTTAATGAGTTTTACATCTTTTCTCTGCATCTGAAATCATGACATCCTCAAATTCTAGATAGTGAACATAAACTATTAAAATAAAAGATTTGCCCGGAGATTGAACTCCACTAATATACTCTCACCATGATTTCTTGTTACATCATTATAAGCAGTCGACTGAAATAGCCCAGTTTGTGAAGGCAGCCTGCACACCTGCCTCTCCTGTCTACTTCAGTACAGGAGGAAGCACAACAGTTGGGCTGCAGTCTATAGCTCTCACTTGTGGCACTTCCCTCTCCATTACAGTCACATTGTGAGGGCATAGCACACGAGCTGCTTGCCATCTGGTTCATTATTACACAGCAATGCAGCAAGAGTAGGGTTCTGTTTGGAGAAATACATGGATCTGACATAACATTGCAACCACCTGCAAGCAATGTATCCACCTGCATACAACTCAAACAGCTATGGAGGGGCTCTGATCCAAAAATCACATTTTGTCTCTTGTCAAACTCAAATCCTTACAGTATTTTTCCTCTCAGTTGACTATAGGTTAAGTGAAAAATAAATTCAGCTTTATTTTTTAGTTCTTAACACAATTATTTTAGGGGTTTCTTGAAATGACTCTTGAAAGTAATCTAATGCATTTTTGTAAAGCTCAAGGCATCTACTTCATATACAATATCAGTATTACTAGGTAAATACTACCTAGTCATATAGTATTTTGGTGAAATTAAATGTTCTATTAGTTTTAAAATGTTATAGCCTTAAAGGTCCCATATTACGCTTAATTGACTCATGTGAACTTTTAGTCATGATGGAGTGTTGTTACCTCATCAAAAACATTCCTGAGTTTGTGTTTTGTTTCATTCACATATGTTTAAATAATCCTTTACTATTCGTGTGTCTACATCTCCAAAATTGAAAATGCGCTGTTCCACCTTGTGATGTCATCAAGCTACAGTTTTCAGGTTAACAACTACCTTTTACCTTTTTATTTAAAGACTGTGAATTCCTGGGCTGAAATGATCAAAATAATTCTAGGGAAAGTGCTATTACCATATGGCATCTTAAGGTGGAACAGATTCTTTTCTGTTTTCTGTGAGAAGAACTCCAGATATGTTTTCAGTGAGAAAACAACCTTATAACACAGATCAGAAAATTGCATAGTATGAGACCTTTAGCAACATTTATTCCAAAATGCTATGCCATTAGGTATGCTTACATTTCCTTTAAATACTTTCATATACATATTTTTTAATTCTGTGCACATCAAACTTGACTATTCCTATTGTTCCACTTACGCATATTCACCCTATATAACCCACCAACTCATATTGCACATCTCATCTTGCAGGTAGATTAAGGACGAGATCAATAGTGTAAAGTTCATCTGACTTTCAATTGGTTTATAAATCACAGCTTTTCCCCCTTGTCTCTACTGCCCTCTTGTGGCCGTGCTGAGATCTTGCCACTGTGCAACAGGCTGAGTAATGAATCAAGTTAATTACCGAATCAATACCTAATCATTCTCCCACACCTTTTTTTTTACCAGCCCTCTTTTACCAATCCTCCCTCACTGATGCAGCCTCCATTCACACGGCGCATTTATCTGTTGTTATAGGTAATCATTACTACCACCCAAGCAGCCGGGTTTACCCTTGTGAACCCCACCCCTTCCCCCTCCCTTTTATGTTTCTCATCCAATTCTCGGAGGATTCATTCTCCAGTCGGCTGCGTGTCTGCCTCAGCATCCATTATCTTGTCCTACCTCTACCACAACCCCTTGATTTACTACTTTTGCCTGTAAAAATCTTATCTATAGTCTTTCTGTCTCCTCAGTCTGCAATCAATAACTGAAGAAAAATCCTTAGTTTTTCCAAGTCATATCATTTGCATATAGGGCATACAGGGCACAATCCACCACTCTCTATGTGAAATACGGACGTTTTTAATATCATTTTTTAGTGTGGCCTATGCGTAGCTGTAGGGTGTCTGCTACTTCTAAGTGCTAGCCTCTTTTGTGTTTTTATGTAAATTTGGCCTTCTCTGGTGCGCTCAAAGCTCGAGCAGATAATTGTTTATGATTATTCTGTGACATTTCCATATGGCACTTATACCCAGGCCCTAGCCATGCTTCTCACAACATGAAATCCATTTGCTTTGAAAATACACACTCTAAAATTGAGATCTCCTACAATTTACTCGTATTGTTGAGGCAGGATGTCTGGTAACACGTCTTATATGGAGAGTACTTTGATATGGAATTAGGACTGTATCAAGCAAGCCCCTCCCCCCAGAGTAGGATTATAGGACCCTCTCCCCTTTCTTGGCCCTATCCTGTGTGTATTAAGACACGGGTGGGTGTGGGTGGGGAGCTGGGGGGTGGTTATGAGCCCCAGTGGGGATGATGACTGGGGCTAAATCATACTTACCCCCCACCACCCTAACCCCATCCTTAGCAGAGGGCACCGCAGCTTTCACCAGCAGACAGCAGGGTGTTTGCTCTTCCTCTTAGCTTTCATTCAATCTCCAGCAAGCTCTGTGTGTGTGTGTGTGTGTGTGTGTGTGTGTGTGTGTGTGTGTGTGTGTGTGTGTGTGTGTGTGTGTGTGTGTGTGTGTGTGTGTCTGGCGTAAAACTGTGAAAGGAAACAAGGGCGATATGGTCATGTTTAGAGATCACATTTAAAAAAGGTTGAAAAATAATTAGTAATAGTACTGATTAACCACCCAAAAGTTTCTTTTACAAATACTTCTACTTTTAATGTTGCTTAAAAAAACTATAGCGATTTGTTGGTGTATCTTGTAAAATGAAAGAAAGCAGATCTGGCATAGATTTGTCATTTGAAGTGTATCATCCAAGACCATGTGATTTCTCATGCATCACATTTATAACATATAATCATTTATAACTATATATTATGCAAGATT